AAAAAAAAAGGTTTTGAAATAGTTTTTGCTTGATATAATTCAACATTTGAATAATATTATATCGCCTATAATTAACATAGTGGAAGGAAATTTTAAATTTCATTTCAAAACTCAAATAATGATGAAGATTTGAAAGTACTTCTCAGAAAAAAAAAAATTCACTCTCAATTATAAAGATTTTTTTTTTGTTTTTTGATTTAAGAATTTCACTATCAATGCTATCAAACATTACTTATAATAACTGGTAAAAATTAATGATAAAAATTCGAGATAAATATAAGCAATTTTGATAGATGTAAGATAGAGATTTAAGCAATTTTGAATTAAAGCAATCAAATTCTAATCATTACCTCAGAGTTATCAGTTCCTTTACGAAGATCACATAGATCACTTTCAATAGTTTGCATCATCATTTGAATGATTCGTTGTGTTTCGGACCAATCATTCCATTTATCTCGAATTGCTTCAATTTGTGCCATTAATTGCTCCACTCGTTCTACAGCTTCCTGATATCCCCGACATAACGGTTCAAATTCTCCCAGTAAACCCGATAAATCACCAGAAAATGAATCCGAACTTAACAAACTCTGTAATTCCTCTTGCTCCTCTAATAATTGCTCATGAATATCCTGAAATTTTTCATTTTCTTTTTTTTTTGTTTCATTTTCAAAATAAAATTTCTTTCGTAATAATAAAAGAAATGACAATATGAACGAAATATATTACAACAAATGTATAATAATATATGGATAGATGATGATCAGGTTAATTTGTCATCTATCCTACTCTCGAAATATATGGATAGATGATGCTGATGCTGCTGATGATGATGATGATGATGATGATGATGATGATGATNNNTGATGATGATGATGATGATGATGATGATGATTGATGATGATCAAAATTAATTTATCATTCATCCCACTCCCGAATAATTTCCAATGATTTAAAACTATCATTTTCTATATAATCTTTAAAACTTTCAACTTTTAACTCATCTTCAAAATTAATCTCTCTTCCTTCTTATTCATTTCTTCCAAAAATACTAAATATTTATGGTTTTGTAAAAATTTGCCAAATGTAATATTGTAATTACAGAAAGAAGGAAAAGTAAAAATTACATTGAATATTTTGAGAGTGCTAACAACATCACCCAATGATCTGATCGATGAGAGTGTGGAGAATGACAAGTCGAGATCACTATCGTTGTGATGGATCAATTTGAGCGAAGATGCAAATTTTTCAATTTTCGATAAAATAATAGGCAGTGGTGATTGTTGTGGTGGAGATGAAAGTGGAAATGATTGAATACATTCGGTGTTATTGCTATTTGTATTATCGTTATTTGCTATCAAAACGTTATGTATATCAGACTCTGAGAAATGTCGGGATTTTGATGAATTCAACAGTTTGCTTAATAGCGGTATTGTTCTCGCCTTCACTAATTCCAACTTATCATTAACACTTGTATTCTGCAAAAAAAAAAAATTTCCATTCTAAAAAGAAAAAAAAAAAGTAAAATTTTGTTTTATTTTTTTTCTCCCTTATGATAGGATGAAATTGCATTAATTTAAAAAAGTATAAATGTTAAATATAAATTATGAAAGAATATAAGAGAAATAGAAATCATAAAATTTAATAGTAAATCAGTGAAAAAAAAAATCGAATAGAAAGTCTTAAAATTAACAGTTCAAAATTACAAGCAATCAAATTGCCAAAAAAAAAAACGTTATAATTTTAAAAATTTTACGAAAAAAGCATGCTAATATTTCTTTTTTAAACCGCTATTTTTTTGATTCAAATTAACAAACAGAAGAAACATTTATTGCAAAAATTACTAATGGTAATATTTCAATGAAATTTAAATTTAAAATGAACATATAAGATTGTTGCAAACCGTAGAATGTATTCAGCAAATCCTTTTTGATTAATATTTAACGAAAAATTGGAGAGAGAAAAAGGTTAATCCAAACCATACCATTTTATTGATTAACAATCAATAATATGTAGCATTATCACCTAGCAACGACCTATTTTTGACAACAACAAATAAAACTGTCATTACAGGAAATTTCATTTCTGCTAACTGCTCAACTGATATAATTACTCATATCCATTGGATCAGCTGATCAATTAACGGATATCTATCAGATAGTATTGAACTTACCGAGTGCTTTCGCAT